AAAAAAAAAAAAAAAAAAAAAAAAAAAAAAAAAAAAAAAAGCACCATTAGGAAAAGCATATGCTGACCACATTAAAAATATGCAGGATGGTAAAAGACCAAATGTAATTAAAACGTATGAGTCCAGACATTAGAATTTGCAGAGCTCTTAGTGCCTTTCTGTGAGAAAGATCGCACAGAATTCCCAAACATGCACTGGTGAGAGGGTATCCGAATAAAAACATTCCCAACAAATGACTATAAAATTCAAACGTTTGTCTTGAGGGGAAAAAAAAAGAGAGAAAAAAAATCCCAAAATCACATTTTATATACTCATTCTCAAAACAAGAAACAAATACCCCCCCCCCATCTAATCCCTATGTGCCTTATGAATTCAGTCGAGTTTAAACAAAAGGGGTGGGGGGAAGAAAGAAAAAAAATCTAATTCTATAGCTTCCTACTTAGAAATGCCGGGCTCCTGCTGATGATTTTTGTGTGTGTGTGTTTGAGAAATGGAGAGATAGGCTTAAAGTATTTTCCATTTCATCAAAGAACATATATTACTTTACTGGCTCACTAAAATGTTGGTTTTATGCCCACCCCTTTTCAATCTGCCCATGTCTGAGATGCACAGTGCAGGCGTACAATCATGAGCAGCTTACGACACTCAGTGAGCACTAGGTGCCTCTGCATGCTTTAGCAACATACTGCTCAGCTGAAGGGAAGGGATTCTTGCTGTCTCTCTCTCTGCTCTAAGCATCACCTAACAAGCAAAGCGAACAAAGAATGGGAAATAAAGCTATCCTTAGCCGGTCAGTGAGTGAATTGTAATCTGTCTCTGTGGAGTAAAGGTTGTGCCGGTCAATGGTCGTTTCAAATGATGGACATTAAAGAGATTGTCAAATCCTGTGGAGTCGTTAGTAAAGAGTTTGGAGTTTTTTTCACAACGTCACAGTATTAACTGCAGAGAAAAGGACACAGAGAGAGAGAGAAAGAGAAGATCCAGCTCATGCACATAGTTCTGAAACTTGCAGGTCCTAGAAGTCAGCTAAAAAGCTAGCTGGACATCCCTTTAGCTCTTTGAGCAGAAGCAAAATAAGACATTGTGAGCCTGCCAGCTTTGCACAAAATTGAAAGGGACTGAATTTGTAGCACAGAGGGGTCTTTTTTAGTTCTGCATATAATTAGTCCAAACACAAAGGAAGCAACTGAATGGAGGTTGTCACTCTCTGGAAAAGGGTGGGTAAGACACTTTTTAATTAAATTCTTTCATGAAGAAAGATTTTTTTTTCTTTGCTGCAGCATCTAACATGAACAAAATCAACATCCTTTTTACCTGTGAATGTCTGTGAACTTTAATGCTGCACAGCTCCTGCATGCTGTAAAGTGAAATATTTGCCTCTGTGTCTTTTTTTTTTTGCCCTGAAATAAAATATGATGTAGAATTTGAAAAGATTTCAATGGACATTCTCAAGCATATTTGGAAATATTCTTGCTAATGGATTTCCTTCTTATTGGTCTTTGTTTAAACTGGTTGCTGTGGAAGCCCCCAGGGTTGATATTGTGTACACTGGGTGTCTTTTTAAAAATGCTTCCAGCCGTGAATAGTGGGTGTCCACAGCTATGTCGGTGTGAGGGCAGGCTTTTGTACTGTGAGTCATTGAATCTTACAGAGATGCCTCGCAACCTGTCGGGCATGATGGGCTTGTCTCTGCGGTACAACAGCCTTTCAGAGCTGCATGATGGACAGTTCACAGGGTTAATGCAGCTCACGTGGCTCTATCTGGATCACAATCACATTTGCTCAGTGGAGGAGAATGCCTTTCAAAAATTGCGGAGAGTTAAAGAACTCACTTTGAGTTCCAACAAAATCACTCAACTGCCCAATACTACTTTCCGACCTATGCCAAACTTGCGTAGTGTGGATTTATCATATAATAACCTGCAGTCTTTGGAACCAGATCTGTTTCATGGGCTGAGAAAACTAACAACGTTGCACATGCGGTCAAACGCCATCAAGTTTGTGCCAGTGAGAATTTTTCAGGACTGTCGCAGCCTGAAGTTTCTAGACATAGGATACAATCAGTTGAAAAGCCTGGCTCGAAACTCGTTTGCAGGCTTGTTTAAACTCACTGAACTACACCTCGAGCACAATGATTTGGTGAAGGTGAATTTAGCCCATTTTCCAAGGCTCATTTCACTGCATTCTCTCTGCCTACGAAGGAATAAAGTCACTATTGTAGTCAATTCCTTGGACTGGATATGGAAATTGGAAAAAATGGATCTCTCTGGCAATGAGATTGAATACATTGAACCTCATGTTTTCGAAAGTGTACCTCACCTCCAATCACTGCAGCTGGATTCCAACCAGCTAACCTACATTGATCCAAGAATCCTCAACTCCTGGAAATCACTCACTAGCATCAGCCTTTCTGCAAACATCTGGGATTGCAGCCGTAACGTTTGCGCCTTGGCCTCCTGGCTAAGTAACTTTAAGGGTCGTTATGACAGCAATCTGCTCTGTGCCACCCCTGAATATGCACAGGGGGAGGATGTTTTAGATGCAGTGTATGCTTTTCACTTATGCGAAGATGCAGAAGACCCAACAAGTGTTAACATGCTATCAGCAGTAACAAACAACAGCGACCAAATGTTCACTTATAGCCCTGCCACAATAATATATGATGTGCAGGATACTGAAGGAGAAAGAACAACAAATGCCATAACCGTAACTATCCCCAATGAAAACACTGAGAATGCTGTTCAGATTCACAAGGTGGTGACAGGGACCATGGCACTGATTTTCTCTTTCCTCATAGTGGTTTTAGTGTTGTATGTCTCCTGGAAGTGTTTTCCAGCCAGCCTAAGGCAACTCAGACAGTGCTTTGTGACACAGCGCAGAAAGCAGAAGCAGAAACAAACCATGCATCAAATGGCTGCCATGTCAGCCCAGGAGTATTACGTTGATTACAAACCCAACCACATTGAAGGAGCCCTGGTGATCATTAATGAATATGGATCTTGTTCCTGTCACCAGCAGCCAGCAAGGGAATGTGAGGTGTGATTTTCTGTGGGAATTTAAACAGTGTGCAACCAAATAACAATGGGCAGACAGTTGGATGGGGGTTTACTGTGCTTTTCTGATGATTTCTGATGCACTTCTTTGCTGAAATTGTAAGAGGATCTGTCTAAAAGACTTGATATGTTAGCTTTATTGTGTCTTAAAATCTTCAGGACAGTCAGTCCTAACATTTCATATGATAATATCCCCTTTGAAGATCTGACAATATTCAGGAATCCGAGAGTGTAAAAAAGGTACCAATTATTGATTGATTTTTTTTGTAAACTACAAAAATGTTTAAAATAAAAAAAAATAGCATTTACAGTTTTTACAGACTGGTGTATACTACATGAATTGTTACCTGTATGCAAAATACAACAGTTTAACCTCTTTTCTCTTCACATACAAGTGTTGAAATGAAAATCCAGCAGTGAGGAAGCCACATAAAATTGAAAAATTAAAATTTAGCAGATGGCTTCACAGTGTAATTATTACACATCCACCTACATCATGTTACCGAAAATAAATAAAAAAAAGCATGGCATAGCAAATATATTTTTGTTAATATGCCACCTGTAACAGTATATCACTAAAAGAAGGAGCTGAGTCATCTTGGAAAGGCTAAAGTTCTAACCTGTCACTAGGGAATACTTCTGAAGATTTTTCAAGATAGCTGACTTCTAAGTTGTACTAAGAGCCACAAAGATGCAGCATATCCCATCAGTACATTCTGTATCGGAATTAATCACATTGCAAAGTCTGATTTAAAAAAAAAAAAAGACAGCCTACAAAATGCTACTTCGTCTTTCCCTTTTTTTAAAAAAAAACCAAACCATACCTTATTTTAAAGGGCTTATTTAAAATCTACTAGCATGTCCCCCTTTCATGCTCTTATGCCGTATGCTAAAAGCAGAGAAACCACTGATCTGTGCAATGTAGAGTAATGATGAAAGGACTGAGGAGGCAGCAATCCAATTTTCAGTAGTGAAAGATCTGTGTTTCAAAAGTAGAACCTTGGGTGTAACACTGCAGGCCCATTAGGCATAGGGTGATTAGAGCATACTTATGGTTACTATAGCTAACCACTATAAAACTCTGTCTTGGGAATGCCTAGCTTGCCAGTCACTTTAATCACAAGACATCCTTAACAGCCCACCCTTCTAAAAATATCTGCAGAGGTAGAAAGTATGATCCTACCTTACTAAGTATTGACACAGGGATTGGTGATTATATCAACAGTGCTTTGTTAATACAGAGCCATGCAGCTGTTTCATTTTATTGCCCTTCTTTAAATGCTTGCTTTTCCTGTATTTTGGATTTTTCTCTCCAATATGTGACCAACCTACTGATTGCTTTTCTGAACCACTCCACACATGTCAATGAAAACGAGGGTGTTGCATTTTTATATCATCAGGCAATGCATCTTTTCAAACCTTCTTCATACAGCATACCATTCTAATAAAATGTGACAGATAAAGGATTTTGTAAAATGTACACACTTTGTACTTATTTCTTCATGCCAGGGCTAGCAACAATGGAAGAAAGTGCCACAAAATTGACATTTTTAATGTTAACTTAGATGTACAATTTTAAAAAAAAATGCCTATAACACTAAGACGGGTTTATAAAATACAGATCACGAAAGGATCAAACCAAGGTTGTTTTTTTTCTGCATAGACCCTTAGTAGGCAATAATGTTTAATTATATAAAAAGGAATATTTTATAAATTATTTCTAAATGTCAGATGAGCACATCCTTTGAAGAGCCAAAGCTTATTCTTCATCTGTTTAGCAACTTTCACTCTGATTTATATTAATTAAATATGAGGTATTACTGCACAGTAATCAGATTATTTTATATAGTAAAACTACAATATCATAAATGAAAGCCAAAATAATCCGCATCGGTAGAGGATCTTTTTTTTTTTCATTATTGCAAATTTTAAAATAAAAAATTAATGATTTTGGTTTTAAGCCACTTACAATTTCCCTGCTGTCTTGAAATTTGCTCAGACTATTATAGCTAGGATGGTATTTAACCATGTAAGCAATAGTGCATTTCTCTTTATGTTCCACTTCAAATCTGCAAGGGTCTAATCCTTCAGCCACTGAAGTCAATGGCAAAACTCCCATTGACTTCACTGGAAGAAGATAAGGCCCTAAATGAGCAGTGATGGAACCAACAGCAAGACAGCCCCTTGTTTGATTCAGTGTCTGCTGAGTTTTTTAAGACAAAATACCTTCACAATGCTAATTTAGGGCCATATTTTCCAGTCTTTGCTCATGAAAACCTCCACTGAGTGCAAATGGGGGTTTTGCCTGAGGCAGGTCTGCAGAATTTGGCTCTCTAACTTTAATTACAAGCACTATGGTATGCCCCTCAAATCAAAATGTAACATTAATGTCATCTTGCAAACTGATTGGTTTAAGTTGGTTTGACAGAAAGCTTCCAAGACCACCCCAAGACAGTTAAAGTTCTACATATGTGAAAAACATTGAACTGCATTTATTTCTTCAGTAACTCCTGTTGCTATAAGAAACAGTGCCGGTGTATTCATTTTTCCTCAGAGTTCATGTACATATAAGATGTCTTGGTGCATGTAAATCTGCTGCAAGACTGATGCAAACATACCAGCTTTCTTCATATTTTTAGCATACGGATGGGGTGTGTTTTACACGCAAGTCATTGCAAACATCTACAGATTATTCATGCTGTTTATCAGTGTTAGTGATTTCAAACGAGGTTTTGTGAGACTTGAACAATTCAGCTTTGGTGATTTATTCACCTCTGTGCTTCATGCATCTTGCATTGACACCTTAAGCAAACTAAAAGAGATAATCTGATTTTTAAAAGTGCAGTACTTTTCACAATGAGGGCTAATCTCATTACTTCCTCTTACCATTTCTCTAAAAGGAGAGTAGTTACCACCAATGACTTGCTCCCCATTGCTGATAGATGAACCCTCCACACATAGGATAACAGATATTCAACTTCAGAGATGATATTTTTCAAATAATCACAAACAATCTTTTTTCTAAACAGACGAGTGACCGCCACAACATCACAAGACAAACTTCTGCTTCTTCAGGTCTCCAAAGGACACCTGTACATATCTCCTGGGGGTCCTGAGCAGTCACTGTGGCCCCTTGTCATTTAAGTTAAGCTATATGACTATAAACCACAATGATACTCTAAAGGCTGCCCAAATCTGTTCTGAAAGTTAATGTGAGAAATAAATGAATATTCCAAATGCAAAGGGGAAGCATTTATTGTGTTACAATCCAACTAATCAAAATGCAGTGATATCCATTCCTCTTTCAGGCAACTTACATGGGTATATTTGAACATCACTACCTTTGTAGTGTACGTGGAGCAATAGGAGAAAGCTCTTGCTGATTATTCCTTTCAGATTTGATATTCAACTAACTATCCACAGAAATGTCAGTGTTTCTGTTTTGATCCCCTTATCAGAGATTTATAGTATGGCTACAAAAATATGCTTTTGGGTGAAATGTGACACAGTTTCTCGCCCAAGAGTTTCTAGGGGAAGGTCAGAGGGTAAAACTATTTTAAATACATCCCCTTATTATGTTCCACTAGAAAGAAAATCTCCCTTTTTTAACTAGGCAATTAGCTCAAGCTGTTCTTTTCAGTATTTTCACACACAAGACAAGGCAAGGAAACTATCTTTCATGAGGATTGTTAATACGCAGTCAGTGTTATGGATCCCTAATAGACAATCTTTTGCTACTAACATCAATACGCAGTCACAGTGTACCCAATAACGGTTCTGAAGGAAATGTTAGTGTGTATGCTCTGAATACATATGAGGGATGATTTATGTCCCTTCCCGGCTTTTTCTTTTACTTTCTGAACTATAGAAAAAAATGACATGAAATCACAAAATCAATGCTAATGTATCATATTCTGTATCTGGCCTGAATATATAAATACAAAGAAATTCTAAGTTAAAGCTGTAAACTCCATCCTTTAGACTCCTCGTGCTTAAGTACTGCCGGTGCTTAAGTGCACCAGTGGATGATCTTACATGCCATATGCACAGCAATATCTAGGTATTCTATAGTGGGCTAAGGATGAAACCTTAGATGAAGCTCTTAATCTCCTTGCTTGTGTATATCAAAGAAAGATCATATACCTGAACGTATTTTGTATAGTTTAACATACATGGTATGTTTTTATGGTCAGGGTACTGAGTAACTCTTTAAATGCCTATATTTAATCATCATCTTCTTGTGCTCTGATTAAAAAGCCCAGCATTTGCTTTTTTCAGACATACTAAATTTGTTTCCTTTTGTGTTTTGTTCTACTGTGGTAGCAAAAGAACATTCTGAATAAAAAGCCCAGTTACATCAGACAGCTTTCAGAAAGGCAAATGGGAAGCAGCATTTAATTAGCAAGCTTATTACTACTGCTAACATGTATTCAAATTAAAGAAAAGAGGAAGGAAATGAGGACAAGGAGGCAAAAGACAAGGGGAAAAGACTTAATTGAAGAGGACTAAACCAGGTTTAAAAAAAAAGATGATAAACCAAAAGAACCGGCAAAGGTAAAGAAAAAAAAAATCTAAGGCTGAGGTGGGTATAGAAATATATCGCTTTACAGAATGAGCAAGCAAAGATGGAAGGGCTTGTGGAAAGGAGAGTACAATAAAAATATAGGTTTGCTGCATCAGAAAGACAAAAAGGAAGGATGGAGGAACATGAAGAAGGGAGAGAGAAGGATAGGTGACAAGGCAGACAAGATAAGTTAGCTTTTTCTATGTTACCTCCCATGTTGTAATTGTAGGAGGGCCATCCAAAGACATTCTAGAAGGATACTGTCTCTCACACACACACACACTTCTGTCTCACACACACACACACACTTTCATTGGGAGGTGAATCTAAACAACAATGCACTCTTCCCTCTCCACAATTCTGGTAGTTGAATTCCAACATCATGTACCTCTTTCAGTTTTATCAGCAGCATTTCCTAGCTGTATTAGTAGCAACTCACTATGGACTTTCTAGAAAACTAGATATTTATACCAAAAGCAGGTTGCTTTCCTAACAAAAAGTGTCCATTTTCAGAGCTGAGCTTGAGCTCAATTGATTCTCTTAACCATACCCTGACTCAATCTCTCTCACACTCAGCTTTTGTAGCCACAGATATTACAACAAACAAATATCAGCCATTTTTCCCATGTACAATTTATCAGTATG